TCAGCAGAACCGCGGCGGCATTGATGCCTGCTCCTTCCACAAGCTTCGAGAGTGTGTGTGTGTGTGTGTGTGTGTTTGTTTGTTTGTGTGTGTGTGTGTTTGTGTGTGTGTGTGTGTGTTTGTTTGTGTGTTTGTTTGTGTGTGTGTGTGTGTGTGTCTGTGTCTGTGTGTGTGTGTGTGTCTGTGTATGTGTCTGTGTCTGTGTCTCTGTCTGTGTGCGTGTGCGTGTGCGTGTCCGTGTGCGTGTGCGGGTGCGTGTGCGTCTGCCTGTGCGGGTGCGGGTGCGGATGCGGGTGCGTGGGCGGGTGGGTGGGTGCGTGCATGCGTGCGCACGTTGGAGATATAGTATATGTCTACCGGTCTACCCCTGTATGTACATGTGACAATGTGTGACAACTAGCTGTTGGGCAGCAGCGTACTGACTGGGCTGTTTGAGCATTCACCCATCAACTACGACAAGCTGCAATGTGTTTGTACTTTGCGCTGTAGGGTTCATCCTCGCTCTTACATCATACAGACTGTTGACGAAAGGAGCATTGTTTCCCTGTCTGTGCTGCGCCTGCGTCTGTCTTCTCCAAGCCCTCAGCTACATGTTCGATAGTCGACAGAAACTGGATACACTGTGCCGTCTCCGTATGGCCAGTCCCAAGCGCGCGCCTCCTTCCCCGGAGCCCGCTACAGTCTTCCATCGCCTTCCCCAGTCTTCCAGAGCAGCGTGTCTGTCTGTGTATGTGTATGCGTGCGCGCGTGTGCATGCGTATCCGTGTGTGTCTGTCTGTGTATGTGTGTCTGTCTATGTGTGTGTGGTGTGCATGAGATGCGTGTGTGTGTGTGTGTGCTGTCTGTGTATGTGTGTGTGTGTGTGTCTATGTGTGTGTCTGTGTGGTGTGTGCGTGAGGAGAGGAGTGAGGGTGAAAAGTGAGTGAGTGGAGGACCAGGGTGCGGTCGGGATGGCGTGTAAGAAAACAAAAACCCCAGTGATGTGGGGAATAATGATGATACTAGTAATAATCATACAGAAAGCGTCACCCTCAGGAATATAATATCATAGAACATGATGTAACACAGTATCATATAATGCATTATAACATAGTATAGCATAACCATAATAACAATAGTAATGTAACATAATATCACATATATATATATATATATGCATGTATATGTACATCATATAATATACTGGTGAAATATAATGCCAGATGATCTAATAATATATTCTATCATAACATATATTTCGGATGACATAGACACAGACATAGACATAGACGGTAAACCCCCGCCCAGGACCAACCTCGGCCGCTCATGTCCGTTCCTGTGTTGTCGTGGACGGAAGCCAAGACCCTGAAAAAACCGGCAAATTCCGTGTCCTCCGTTGTTGTCTGCAACGTATAGGTGTCATACCACTATACCGAACAAACAGGTTCCAGCTTCGTAGCTTTTTATAGTGCTTGTCGGTTCGTGTGCTCACATGCCATGTGATGTACGTATGCAATACTCACCGGCATATTTCCTGCTATCTAGTTTGCGAGTAGTAAGTACAATGCATGCGTTATTGCTTCTGTGATTGTGAATCTGCCATTTAACTTGGACTAGCATGCGTTCTATATTTCAGTGTTTGGCCTCATATTTACATACTGCTCATCGAGTAGTTGTGTCACGCATGTTTGTATGAGTTACCGGCACCTGCTATTTAATTTCAGTAAGTAATTACGACAGGTGCGTTATTGCCTCTGCCACACCTAATAAACATGAAGTCAATATCGGAGGAGTATTCGCTGAATATTTCATAGCGTTTTGCCTCAGATTTAGGACTACCTCTTCATAAACATTGAATACTCGGTTTGTACTGGAATAGCCAGGCGTTGCAGCAATGCAAACCAGAAAAACAAAAAAACATGCAGAAAATCAGTCCTGAACCAGTCTAAAAAATAGTGCCTACCACGTATTTCGTTCATGAGGAGACAAGAACAATGCGGTCCTAAGAACCGAGCGTTCTGAGATGTTACGCCAACAAGTAGCTTCAAAAATGAGTGTCCAAATACGGTTTGCTTGTGAAACATTCATGAGATGTGGACTAGACATTTTGCCAGGCATCAGCGAAAACTGTCAATTTAAATAGAGTGCTGAACTACACTGCAGTTAACAATCGGCTATATTGCCTTAGCATTTCGGCATTTTTCTGGGCGAAAATGAATGAACAACCGTTTTTGGTAGAACCGAAGCTTGTAGTATTAAAATGTTGGTTAAGTTTCGTGTTAAGACCACATGTCAGATGAGCATAAGTTCCAAGAGCTTATCGTTTCTATTAGAACGGAACAATGAAACGAACATGTATATAAGGCCTAGCGATGAAGTGCTCTGTAGTCGTGAAACACAAAACATGCAAATCACACATGCGCTAAGCATATGTCAGCCCAAGAGTAGATTTCAAGAACACCACACGCCTCAACAAAAAAACGCACATTAGTTAGTATCACACGGCAAATTACTTACTTATATATTGGATAAAGCAGCTCGAACACGACTTTTGCACCATGCGAGTCTTCTCACAACGTGGCCTCACAAAAAGTCCAATTAAGCAACAATCTCAACATAAGAATTTACAGGCGTCTGACAGCGATCCCTGAGTACGCGCGAGAAAGAGAGAGAAGACAGCTTGGGAATATATTTTGGAATGCCATCAGATGTCCACTATTTTTATTAAAACCCGCAGACATTCCAAAAATTTTGGAAACCAAATTTTGGATTTCCAAAATTTCAGGATTCCAGAAACTGTAACAAAAAAAAGGCAACCAAAGTTCGGGAATTTCGGAATTCCATCATTCCAAAGCTTCTCCTCAGACTTTTTGGAATTGTTTGATTTTTGAAATTAATGGAATTTGTGCAATTTCTAGATTTTTTGGAATTCTCGCAATTTTCTAAGTTTTTGCATTTTCGGAATCGTTGAGATTTCATGTGAGAGGTTGGTCCCGGAGGGTGGGTAGCACATCGACATATACATAAGTATACATATATATATATACTGAAAATGAAAATATCCACTGCCACCCAGACATGCTTACTTCTTTATGAGTACTGTTGGTCTTTTGTGGTGGTGACGGTTCCAACCCATGAGATGGGTTCAAGGTGAAAGTAGTCTTGTGGACTGTGGTACAACCCACCGAGACACCTGAAACTGCTGCATCATCTCGTCCCGAGATCGCGGCATGTGCCTAGGAGTCCAATTGTTGGGGTTCATGCGAGAATCAGCCACAAATGCTGGGATTCAATCAACTTCGTCCAGTCTTGGCTGCGGATGTAGTCGTCATGCCGGACAATCTGTGATCAGCGAGCACCGAAGTTTCTTCGAGATTCATCTGCTCCTGCTGTACACGGCCTCCTGCCCAATGTGTGGAGGAAGCCCAATGTACTGATGCACAACGATGACCTTATCAGCATTTGGGCACACTGGCCAGGCATCAACCCGTCACCTTCCAAGTCGCAGACGCCGGTGTTGCTTTCGGCAACTGGTACCGGCCCAAACTGCACGTCCCTTCGTCAAAATAAACTCTCGGCGTCACAATCAACAACACTACTACTACTACTTGTAAAAAAGTGTCCAGTCCGCCTCCTCGCCCTGAGGTGATACTGAAAAGCGCTTTCAGTTGCAGCTGATCTTTGGGCAAGGCTGTTTGCCTGCACACGCTCTGTGGAAATCACCACTGCTCTCCGTGGACAAACCGAAGCCTGCGTGTTGCCGATGGCCAACATCACAGCAGCCCCGGCCTCTCAAGGCATTCAGAACAATACATGCAAAATCATGCGAAATATCCATCTTCTTGCGGTTGGCACTAATGCATTTGAAGTCGGGAGCTTTGGTTTGAATTCACGCAGAGAGCGTCTCGAAACACATGCGCGACAGAGCGCACCGGCGATGGTGAGCACGGACCGGTAGGAAGCGACTGCTTGAGATGCCGCGGCTCTGTGCGGTAGCAGCATGAAGCATGCCGTATCACTCCCCAAGAGTTCCTGTCATGTTACCAGACGCGTTGCAAATCCGGAAGGAACCTATGATGCGTGAGGCCGGCCGTAGACAAGATCTTCCACGTCGTCCCGTTTCGGTATTGCAGCGAGCAGTCCATGTTAACACTGTGGACTTTCGTGCTTTGGAATGCTGGCTTGCTTGGCGACAAGGTTTACTTGCAGAGTTTCCCTCGCCGGCCTCAAGGTGTGCCTGTGTGGACGAGCTACTCTCGGGAAGAGCCCTGAGTGAGACCATGCAGCAAGCTGCAAGCAACTTTGGCTCGTCAGCTTCACCAGCATCACCGACGACGATGCTGCAGAAGAACCCCATGCTTGTTGGCATTTCGCAAGATCTGGGTCGAATCGAACTCTACATGCTTGCCAAAGCCTTGCAACAGCTTCCTGCTTGCAACGGGCCGCGCTGAGAAACGGGCAGTGTCCAACGAAATGCAAAGACTCCCAGAAGTCTTAGTCACCATCTTGGAACGCACCTCAGGACTCTCCCACTCGTTCATACCCATGCATACATGCGACGAAAATGAGTCCGATTTGCAACCTGTGCGAAATGGGCCCGGCGTCTTGCAAAATTAAGCATTATTAGAAAAGGGCATGTTGCCAAAAGCAGGCAAGGGACTTCTGGGACTTTGTCGTTGAGGATGTCGGCACGTGGGGCAGGCAAAGAGCCAGGGTCGCTCCCGAGCACTCCACTCACTGCCCTCGCCTGCGCGAAGACTACTTGGTGATGCTTGTGGCCGCCGCTTTTCATCCGGGCCTCCTCCATAACGGAGGTCTTGAGCGGCCTCCATGTGCGACAAGTAAGCTCTGTGTGACCCGGCAGGCTCGGCAGCATGCTCGAGCCGTAGGCCACGGTCCTTGGCTCCGCTCTGGATCCCTGTCGTCATATAAAGAGCCTTCGGGAGGTCACGGGGAGAAAAGGGGCCTATTAAGAACCCGATAGGGGTCTATCAAGGCCTATTCAAGGAAGCATAGCTCCTTCCCCAGATTCATTACGAGTCTTATGAGGTGGCATGCGATGCTGATTCTAGACGCAAGCAGGCTTCTCCACTCGACCGGCTGCATCCAGTTTGAAGACTTGCACGTGCAGCTTTGGCCAACCAGCCAGCGAATCCGCTATGAAATGGAAATCGAGCGGATGGTTGAAGACGTACCTGGGGTTCACAGACCTGCCAACAACGTCTTATCTACGCCCTCTACTACTGCATCACTACTTGTCTTCGGTAGAGCTAATGTGATCGAATCAGTGCGCACTTGTTCACTTTGGGAAGCTCTGTCATGCGCTACAGACACCAGGGGATCGTGATGCAGAACGAACAACAAGACTTCCGAGGTTTCTGGGCACTCCTAAACGGGTGCTCGGATAGGAACTAAAGGGCTGTAAGTCCCAGCGGCACTCCCTCTGCGTCAGCGTAGGTTGTCTGGGTTTGGCCGATGAAACCCTCCTTCCTCGCGATGGGCAGCCAATCGCTTCCAGCTTCTGCGGCATAATCGATGAAAAGCCCATCATCCGAGGAGAGTCCTTCATGCGCCAGTCATGACCGTAAGGACCATCAGGCTTCTTACGGCATGTTGACTGCTGTCTGAGGTCGCATCCTGGAAATTCGCAGCCAAACCTTTCTCTCTCAGATCGCCGATTCTTGCTTTGACAGAGTTGGAGACTTGCTGCAGCACCCATACTGCTCTGTAGGAATTGTTCGGGCTCTTGCAGCCAGGCAACTCCAGCTCACCGATGAAATGCAGCTCGAACTCTTCACCGGGAGGGCAAGGTGGTGCAGAGGGTGGCGGAACTGCCATGAAACGGAGTACGTATATGCAGTTGAGTGTGAAAATGGCATCCAGAGGAGCCAGCAGCTGCACCATCTCTTTTTGTCATAAAAAACCGTGACATCATGCCACTGGCTGACAGGAAACACGCGGCACACTCGTCCAGCAGCAAAGACTTTTTGTGGCACTCCTCTGCGCCTTGCGCAAAACGGATTGCGACTAATTCAACTATCTTGTTTGTACATTGGCTGGGCACGGAGTCATGCCTTAAGCCGGATCTACTCACCCTTGATGTGCCTTGCAAGAAAGCTTTCTCGAATCGCATAATTAGCAGAAGCTTTCACCTTCGGTTTGGTTCTGAAACGAGCGAACCCCATGCCTGCTGGTTGAGATTCGACGTGGCTGACGTCGCAGCTTGATTCGCAGCTGCTGCCGCTTGCGTCGCAATCCTTCTGATGGCTTTCTAAGAGTAAGAAAGAGGTGTGTGCAAGAAACCGCGGATCTGGGAGAGCGGCGAGCTGGCAGTCTTGGATGCTTTCATGAGGGTCCTTACTTGGCCTACTTGGCTTTACCACAGCCTCGACTCACAAGTTCAGAAGCTCAGAACACGCTTTCGCGCTGGAATGCCGCGAAGAGGCTGCACCGCATCATTGGGAGTGAGGCGGCTCAAGGCCACTTGGATCGCCTGTAGATCCTGGCCGGTCCAGGAGAAGTGGCGGCTGAGGGTAGGAATAAAGACAAATGTGACAGCCGCGGCTACGATGCCTTCCATCGCTGGATGCTCCAAGTCTGCACATCCTCCCAGACGTTGGAGAGCACCTGCAGCTTCTTCCGCTCGATGTCTCCAGGGCATCTAGACTCCACAAGCTGCCTTAACATCGTAGAGCTCCACCTTATTCAAAGTCTGGCTGCAGGATGCTGCAGGTGAACTTACCCGGAAGCTGACCTCTGAGTCCTGTGCAGACTCTCTTTGAGCATGCTTGTTGGCAGTGTGATACAGTGCTCCTCCCTGGCACTTCCGAGCTTTATCAAGTGCTACACCGGGCTGAAGCACGTCGGAGTGGCAGTCACCAAGAATAGCAGGATGTGGTGGGCCTGGGTCATTCGAACTATAAACAAAGAATGAGGCTGAACAAGCAAGACCCAGGCCAATAGAAAGTAGCCACCTGTTCCGACTACAGGTGAAGCCAACAGCTTTAAAGTGCCGCCTTCCACCTGCAGCGCACAAAGACTTTCAGCGAACGATTTCATGGCGTCGTCAACAGTCAACTCGCGCACAGCACCAGCTCTGTAAGGCTTTTAAGTCACACGCAGTTTGGTCTCAGCTTGAAATCGAAGGGCTCGTTATTCTGCTAGCAAGAAAAGTCGTCTGATAGCAGGAACAAGGACTGAGGACATATATAAATTATATAAAGCACAAATGATCTGACAGTGACATAAGCAGACTTGTTTACAGAGGATAGATTGCAATGCTACAAGTTACGCTCGCTTCCTTTGGAAAGACAAAGGAGAAATGCCACCACATCTCTTGGCGGTACTCCCGGGAATAGGCAAGGCTCGACTCCGTTCAGAGTACACAGGCACAGTGTCAGCTTTGGAAATCGGCGGCACAGACGCCGCCGAGCACACTGAGCAACCTGCCATTCATCCCAGAAACAGGGCTGGGGATTCGGGCTCACTCTTGGCCAAGCGTGCAATGCCTCCACCATGCGCACACACCGCGTGGCAGCCGTGCTCGTGTTCCCACGGAGCCGCAGCTGGCACTCTCTCACCAGTGCTCAGGTGCAAACGAGCTACCGCACCATCCTGCGAAGCAAGGAGGAGCTCAGCGCCAGATGGCGCAAAGGCCAAGGAGGCCGCAATGGCTCTCGTGCGGACTTCGCCGGAAGGCAGCCAGGAATCGCTAGCCTCCCCGGTGTGAGCATACATGGTGACTGTGGACTCGCCGGGGAAGGCGACTGCTGCACGGATGGAGAAGGCATCCTTCTTGAGACCTGGTTGTCGGGAAATCGCAACTGTCCCCCGGAGAGCACCGTCCTGGATTGGCACGTGGGCCAGGTTGGACTGGTGACACTTCCAGATGCCCTGAGAAGGCTCGTCTGGACAGTTGAAGAGGGCACCGGTAGACGCCACCAGCAAGAGACCATGTTCATCCCAGTGGCCGGCAAGTAACGGTCCTTGTCCATGCGCACCATGGAGTGCAAAGTCACTCATCTCAGTCGCACGACCATTCAAGATCGGGATCATGGACCCGCGACCGTGGTGAGAAAGAGCCAGCATCTTGTGAGCGCTGGTGTGACCACACAATATCTTCGGCTGCAGCATGGCAGGCCACTGCAAAGGTGCGCGTTGCGGCTGCACGGCTGGCATCATGGACACATCCACCATGGAAGCAGCGGGGGCTCCACCACGGCTTGCCCGCTTCCCCTGAGCCAAGTCGGCTAGATGAGGCAACGCGCTCCGAATCTTTGCCACAAGTTCATCCCGCGGCACGGCAGCAAGGAGGTCAAGTGCGGACACATCACCATGGAGGCGGCGAGCGTGGTCTTTGATGCCCACGGCTGGACCATGATGCGCTCCGCCAGTCCCCACCTCGGTTGGCTCGTGGTAGCCAAGCTTTGGAGGACGATAGCGCGGGTCACGCAAGTTGTTGGGCAGGCCGAATGCATTCAGCATGGAGGGATGGTCGGTGTGTGCGTTCGCGATCTCGATGGTGAAGCCAACAACCAAGTAGACCCAAGCAATCAGCAGCCCCAGGAGACCAGTGCGAACATTGAACCAAGCAGGAGACTCCCCCTGCTTGCCCAGAGCCCGGTGCACGTCACGTCTCTTCGCCTCGGAGGCATCGTAGGTAAGGCGGCCTTCTTGTCCGCCGCTCTGCACGCCACCCTCCGACGCCTTGCGCATCTCGCCCACCAAGTCATTCTGGCCAGCCTCGAGGTGTCGAGGAGGAGCCACTAGCCAAACTGCATGCTTGAAAGCCTTCGGAAGCCGCCACTGCCCGGGCCACCAAGTTCCTGCAGGTACTTCGGCTTGGTCAGGTGCTGAAAAGTCCGGAGCGCAAATCCGGAGCAACTGCACCGTGTAGATCTCGGTATGTGCGGAGATCTGATAAACTGAATCTGAATTGCCCTAACAGACACCAGAAGCAACTAAGCCACGGGCAATATGGAAGGCATAGGTAACATAGACGAGCACATACCCGATGACCGCCGTGCCTTCATCGTAGTAGGTCTTGTACTCGATGGCCAGGCCAACCCAGGCCACCAGCTGGGCGAGGGGGCCCAGGCGCTGCAGCGGGAAATCCACCTGGCCCGGCATGATGTCCAGTGTCAGGAGGATGTGCTGCAGCACAGATGTGGAGATGCATACCAGGCCAGCTGCAAAGACTGCCCGGTTCTCAGCGAAGAGGTGCCCCATATGTTGGTACGTCCAGCAATGGAGCAGGTGCATGAAGGCGAGGAAGATGCTGATTCGTGCATACACATCATATGGCCACCACTCATTCTGGATCTCTCTGTAGACTTCGAAATGCTCTGGTGCCGTTCCCTGTGCAGCCAATGGCATCATGCTTTCGAAAGGCTCACCTTGGTCAATGGCGACTTCTTTGCGGTACCAAGCAGGCACATCCTGCCCGTGACGTGTGCGCTGTCGAGCATCGGGATCGATTTCGAGGCCCTCGTTGTAGTCCTCCTCGTCCTCACCAGCCCTCCGGTACTGATGCCGCAAGAAGGGAATTCGCAGCACCTCGCGCAGCGGCTGCTCCTCCCATGATCCCAAGAACTTTCGGGCACGATCCAGCATCCAGTTGGCTGGAATGGGAAGCCTCACGAATCGAGTGAGCATGTGGCAAGTTGCTGCGTTTGCACGCAGGCAAGCATGCATGGCCAGCCACATGGTAAGACCAAGCCAAATGTAAGCACCGCCAACGTTCACCATCATGAGGCCCATGTACCAGCCAGGCGGTGGAGGTGTGTGTAATCCAACTCGACCAGGACAAAAGATTGCCGTGAGAATGGTGGCCGTCATGCCGGCGATGTCTGCATACACGTGCATTCGATTTGTTGTAAGGGTTGTCAGATCTACCAAGTCTTCTTTGTACTGATCTGTCTGCGCACAGGCCATGCCGAAGCCAGCATTGAATCGAGACCAATGAAGCCTGGGAAACAATGCACACTGCAAGCGCGGCTACCTGCGCAATCACCGCTACCTAGCCACACATGTGCAACAAATGGCATGGCTCGACTCAGGCAGTTGCTTCTGATCCATCATGTAATTGCCGCGGTTGTAGCCGAAAAGGCCAACCCCAACCCCTCCCGCCGCGGCTGCACCGGCAGCGGCATATCCTGCTGCTCCGAGCTCCATGTCTCCCTGAGAGCATTGAGCACAGCACTCAGACTCACTTAGACTCAGTCGGAATCTCAAGGCCTCGCCTGACTGCCTGAACTCCGCAGCCAAGCTGCTTGGCTTCTGAAGTTCTTGCAATGCTTGCCAGGTCAGTAGCCCTCAAGGCAACACGACTGCCTGGTGAAAGCAGGGACCGTCAGTCCGGTCCTTCTGTCTTGCTTGAGAGCAAAGACTGCGGACAGTTCCATCTCGTGTGTCTGCACAGCTCCGGACCAAACTACAAACTACCCCTCTGCACAATGCCACATCAAGCCAAACTTGCAACATGCCCACCTGCTGGTCATTCACTAAGATTCTCTGCTGCACAGCCTGCACGAGGAAACACGGGGAGAAAACATGCATGGTGCTACAGGATGCTCGGCAAGAAGCCCTCGCCCCGACACAACGACCTGGCCTCAGCAAGCACCTGCTGAAAATCTGTCACAGCCTGCAACACGATCTCTCGCTGATCATGAGATATTGCGGTTCTCCGGACTCCCACCTGTTCTTCGTCCGGTGCTGGCATTCGCCAGGGCTTCAGTCTAGGCGCCACCAAAAGACCGGCAGACGCCAAGGCACTTCACTTCGCTTGGGCCCCGGCTTGAGCTTAAACTCCTCCATAATTCTGGAGAGCAGCCCATCCTGAGGCGTCACGAGGCCCCGGCCAGGCCGGCTCAAGACTTCAGCGTCGTTTTTGAGGCCGGCGCCAGGTCTCGCGTCAGCTGCTGAGGGTCAAGAACCCTGGACTCTGGCGCTAACTTCTTCAGCGTCTCCCTGTGCAGATTTGTCCAACCCAACACTGCGAGGCTCCATGCAAAGTTCTATTCCGCAGTGGCCTGAAGCGTTTGTGCAAGTCCTCTTTCACAGACACTGTCTCCACTTTCACGAAAGCCTCAGCAGTTGAAGACATCCTGAGGCCAAAAAAGCCTTGGCTTCCTGAGCCCTAGACCTCTCTCAGTCCGATTGCCATGTCCTGCGCATTTTCTTTGAACGCCTGACGCGGGCAGTGACAGTGACACCGCCGCTATCCGAGCAGCTGCCAAATCTTCGCTGGGTGCCTTGGCAAAGTTCATGACCTGACGCCCACAAGCAGTGGTACGTGTATACGGAGACCGGTCTCTAAACGATCACAGAGCGGATCTCAGGCAAAAGCAACCTGCTGGAAACCTGTCGTGGTGATCTCGCAGCCCAAAGGGGCCTCGCGAATGATGGACACTGGGAATTCCTGGAGCAGCTCGTAATCTGGGCTTCAGGCTGACGGCTGTGGAAACTTCCCGCCACCGAAGAAGTCTTCACTGAACTTGTCCTGGGGATGGACATGCGGATAATGTCTGTAATGCAGCTCCTCGCCGCAGCAACGGGTCCAACAAGTACAGGAAGTCAGTATCGATGGACTCTATCTCTCCAGTGTATGTGGGCCTCGTGAGAAGGCGCAGACAAGCCCAGCAGGAGCGACTTTGCCCTTTGCCCGGGGAGCAGGCTTTGTGACCTTCAGGCCGGGATGAGGCAGGCCCCAGGCTGCTATACCTAAGTAATGCGGAGGGTTCACCTACCATAGAAACAGCCGTCAGCATGTGCCCTGGTCAGCATGGGAAAGCTCGGCGATTCGATTTATGTCGGTGCCAGGCCTTTACAACCAATATGCCAGGCTAAAGGCTAGAGCTGCATCTTGTGAGCCCTGGAAAACAACTTGACCTTATGTTGCTGGCTTGCGGCTTATCTGCACCGTGGGAGGATTTTGGAGAAAACGACTGCACAACTTCAAGAATCTTTACTCCAAGCTCTTGCAGAAAACACCAATCACCAGAATCAAAACAGCCACATGCTGTTCAGCCTACTTTGTTCCCTCTCTCTCTCGTTTTTGATGGCAGGCTGGCTAGGGCCCGCACTGCGGAACGTGGACTTGAGTCGCTCTACCTTGGAATCGACCGCAGAAGCTGTGAACCCAAGTGGCACTTGGCCGCGGACCCGCGGCTTGGCATCCTGTGCGGATGATGGGAAGACTCACACCCCGGCCTATCCCATCCGTGCCACAAGCGGCCTCTGGAACCTTCTTCTCACTAAGATGATCATCCAGATGTTCCCGCATCTGTTCCTTTGGCACGCGGTCGAGGAACAGAAAATCGACAGAAAGCACGGTTACAAGTCGACTGACCAACCTTGCATTCACCAATGTTAAATCCATCCTGCGAGCAGCGTGGCAGTCCCCCAATGCAGTGTTCCCAACATGAGGCCACCTCGTAGTTCACCCAATCTCGCACCAACAGCTCCAGGTGCCCAAACCTCTGACAGGCGTTGAGGATTGGCGACGTGTGTAGGATGAAGATCGTCTTGGGTGGCTCACGGTGCATCTTTGCCTGGAAGGTCACTGCAAACAGTTTGCCTGGGTCCACGTTGACACTCACATCAGAACACCTTCTTGCGTACTGCTTTCGTACACTTGCTTGAGGTCGCACGCGAACGTGGTAATGTAATCCATGTTCTCCAACTGGCGCATTCGACGGTGTCCAGTGTACACCGTCTGCACTCAGCACACTTGCCTTGTCTTCCTCCACGCGGTTCTGGATGTTGTATATCCTTGGCTGCATCACCCACTGCCCGGCTTGTGCTTGAACAGAAGACATGTGCCATGCGATGACTGCAACCAAGGTGCAGCTTGGACGAAAGCAAAGCGGTCAAGCCGAAGATAGTGGCACTGCGACGGCTGAGCAATAGGCAGGGGCTTCTTGCACCACCACGACATTTCTGCTCTGCTTCTGGCAGAACTAATTAGCTTCAGATTTCGGACTTTGCTGCCGCATCCCCATTGTGATGATGCTGTAAAGTGGCGAGATGGCACATTGGTTTTACGTCCGCCGCGAATAGTCGTGTGCATTGGAAGCTGCACACACAGTGAGAGCTTGGTCACTTGGCGATATTTTTACTGGGGAACCCTTCCGGATCTTCGCAGCAACATGGGTAGCGGCAGCGGCAGTAGTAGCTGCGGCAGCAGTGACAGTAGTAGCAAAAAACCCTAACCAGCCGACTGACAGCATGCACATGCCGGAAGATGGTGTTTGGCTGCCAACATTCAACATATGCATTGAGTCTGCCGAGGTCTGAGGCAATCTAGCCCCTTGTATTCGCCATTGGGCGACCACACACAGCCGCCCCAGCAGGCCATCTGGCCCGAAATATCGCTCATTCACACCTGTGAATATAACAGGGGCGGGAGGGCGGGTGCTGAGAAAGCTGCTGGTGCGTTGGGCGCACCGCAGCACACCTGAAACACACAATCCGTGGCCTGGACACCCTCACTGATACATGCGAAACATGTAAATGTGGCTGTAGGTCGTAGTTTAGGGTTCGTGGTGTGCGCTGGCCATTAGCCCGACCTACCCCAGCGCAAACCTACCTTGTGAACGGAGGTCGGTTCGGCACACACTCAACACTTGCTGCGGGCAAGCTGTGGACTGACGCATAACACACATGACGCGGTTGCGTGCGAGTGTTCGCCGCATGCACTTGGTTGAGTGTCAGCGCGCGCAAGCGTACATACACAAGCACGACACAATATCGCACAGCGTCAACACACGCACAACCAAACCCGAACAACTGCACATCGCATTTTGCTACCACGCACGTATGGGTATACCTGACCCTACTGCACCTGTAGCGCACACCAGAAACCCTGCGGCACGGGCGGTCACTTTTGGCTGCAAACTTCTTTTGATGAGGATGGGGGGGGCACATGCCCCCCTCGTCCGTCCCTGTTAAGCAAATCTCCGGCCGTTGGGCCATAAGTGATAACACAGACGAACGCTGGCATCAGCCAGCCGTCCATGCACCGTCACCTACCCCATCTAGGGAGAGCGGGCGGGACTTTTCAGCACACAAAGCTGTGAAATGCGCGGCACCTGAACAAGCGGACGCTGCAACCTGACAGTAGCAAGACATGTGCACACAGGTGGGGGCGAGGGTTCTGTGTGTGCGGCGGCCATATCCCATCCTACCCCATCGCAGACAACCCGGTGGCAAGCTCGCACTAAATTACACGCACCACCTACCTGCGCCTGCCAAACGCAACACGTTCACCCACGTCTGAACACGTGTGTCCTGACTGCCACTAAGTATACTTGCAGTCAGCGGAAGTAGCAGCAATGGCTGCTGAAGCCAACCCCTGCCAAGCAGGGGTTCGGATAACCTCCGACTTCATGCTGAAGCTGCGATCGGGCCATTTCCACCGCTGGTGTCCATCACTGCCGTCGATGCTGTTGCAGAAGCAGCTGGCTTCGCCTCCTTAGCAGGTTGCCCTGCCGATGCAGCAGCAAAAAACGGCGCGCGTTGCTCCAGTCTTGAACTTTCATATCTTGGCACTGGCTTGCAGAAACAAACCTGCGCTCAGCACATGCCCATCTCTAGCAGCTCTACCACGCTCGCTGCTTGGCACAGAACAGGTGGAAGCTCTGCCTGACAGACTTCCTCGAAATCTGCCTTCTCTTGCACTGTGAAATCGGCTATATATGCGACTCGCTCGCACGGCCCCTGGTCACGTCACGACGGATAGGTCGCGGGGGCTCGATCACCCGGTGTCACTTGCGACTACAAGTAATGAAAGGACTGTGACATCACGCTAGCTTCTGCTGTCGCTCTTAGTCTTAGTCTTGCCTGGTAGTCGAAAGCATGGCAAGCAGCTTCTCCATCGAAGCGAAAGCCCTCGAGACACAGCCAGCAACGGCTGTCGCTGCACAGTCACAGGAAATGGCACCCACGCAGTATCACGCAGTCACCTTGGGGCAGGCTTGGGCAAAATCCTTGGTGCAACCTGCACAAGGAGCTGCAGAAACCTGACAAGGAAGTAGCGAACCCGGGAAGCACTAGACGTAAGGCCACTCAGTTTCTGAGCCTCGGCCTGCAGCTGGTTCTCTCGCAGGACTTCCGCATTAATGTCAGAAAGCTGCCGCACTTGGTCTTCCTTGAGATGCTGAAGTGCTGCGTCGAAAGTCGGCAACTGCTGGGACTTCGCTTTGTAAATCATGCCTCGACGGCGAAAGCGACACGAAAGAACATCCACCAGAAAGCTACACTGCTGCTACGTTCTCGCACATATCATCGCGTGTGCGTCTGTTCACTCTCTTCCTTCACGGTACATCTACAGACAAGCAAGGGCTCTTATTGCGAGATCCTCCCTTTGCTTGAAGAGGCGAAACCCAGCCTGGCACAAGATCCCCGCACAACCTCGGTTTCAATGGTTGTAGCACGGTAGCTAGTAGTAGTAGTAGTAGTA